AGGGAGGCAAGAAGCAGGTGCAGAAGCTGGAGGCCAGGGTAAGAATTCCTTTCACATTTACATAAAGAGTTTAAATTATAAAAGCAAGTTTTTAAAAAATCTCTGCAAAATGTCCCTGATCAGGTGAGAGAGCTGGAAAATGAGGTAGAAATGGAGCAGAAGAAGAGCAGTGAAGCAGTGAAGGGTGTCCGTAAATATGAGAGACGCATCAAGGAGCTCACATACCAGGTAATGTCCCAGGACACAGACAAATGTCTGCATACATCCCAGTTTAGATAGTCATGTTCAATGCTCTTTGTTCCCACTACACTCAAACAGATTTAATTTATTTTCAGACTGAGGAAGACCGTAAAAATGTAGCACGTTTACAAGATCTGGTTGACAAGCTACAGCTGAAAGTCAAAGCCTACAAGAGAGCTGCAGAAGAAAGTGTAAGTGTGGTCTCCAAAGGTTTGGTCTCCGATGTGTTGGAATTCAGGTTCTACACGTGGTTATTTCATTACTTCTTATCAAATGAGATCTCTAAGTGCCTTTTAGACTGCCAGCATTGGTTTTTCAAAGCATTTGTTAATATTTGATTACAGCCTAATTCATTAGTTGAATAGAGCTGAGTCAACCCTGTCTTCAATTCAATTCAATTTTATTTATATAGCACCACATCACAACAATAGTTATCTCACAGCACTTTCCAAACAGAGCAGGTCAGACCCTACTCTGAAGATAATTACATAAACCCAACAATTCCCACCATGAGCAAGCACTAGGCGACACAGGCAATGAAAAACTTCCTTTTAAAGGGCAGTTTAACAGGCATAAACTTCCTTTATGTAAAAAAGGACATTAAGAACTCTTGGTCATCCATGTGATCGATGGTTTGTTTTCTTTGCTTTAACCAGGAGGAACAGGCTAATGTTAATCTGGGCAAATTCCGGAAGCTTCAACATGAGCTGGACGAGGCTGAAGAGAGAGCTGACATCGCTGAGTCTCAGGTCAACAAGCTGCGGGTCAAGAGCCGTGATGCTGGCTCCAAGGTTAGAGACCCCTCTAGATTTCAGCACAGCACTTAATAAACTCACCTGCAAATTTGCAACTGTTTTTTTCTTCACTTTCTTCACAACATCTATATGAAGTAATGTCATATGTATTTCAGCCCATCATTTGAAAGAAATCAGACAAGTCTTTGTTCAGAAAAACTTTATTTGGATGAGATGTATTAGTTAACTATTATTGGTTATATGTATTGCATTTGATCTTTTTGAAAGTACTGTTGTTCTTCAATATTTGAGTGTTGGAATCATGAGGTTCAGAGATAAGGAGCAAACTTTAAAGCCAATCCACCCATAGCCTTCTCTGAGCTGTAATGCGAGATGCCAGTTAAGTAGTTAGGGATCTAATAATATCATCATATATAATACATAATGCATATATATATGTTTACATATATATATATATGCGTGCGTCTACATCTATATGTACTTACCCACATTTTGTAGAAGAAAATTGTCTTACGAACAGTAAATCACGTGATATTTTTGGTGTCCAAACTAACTTTTCATATCATAATTCCTCTGCAACAACATTGGATTAACTGCCCATGATTTTAACATTCAAATTAATTATGATACATGCTGCCTAAGACAAAGTAGCACATTATCATAAGCCTGGCAGTAGAGAAAGTACTAAATGCAATTGATATTTTTGTCCACCATTCAGAACATAACATATGTGTTGTTGAGCTTTTTGTCACTAATCCATCTCTCGTTGTCATTCTTTTATCATTCTGCATCACAGAAAGGGCTAGATGAGGAGTGAAATTCATTGGCGACCATCTAAGACCTTTGGGATCTCCTGTGCTGTAGTCCCCTTTGTGTTCAGAGTAACTCTGTAGAATAAAGCAAAGTGCATTCAAATCAACCTGAAGTGTTCTCATTCATTATGGTTTCTGTAGAAAACATATAGACACCAACAATAAAGACACCAAATGAATTTTATGAAACATAACAAAAGCAGAGAGAAAAACAAAAAACAAGACAATAGAAGAGTCCCTTATTACAGACAGCTCCTTACTGCCATCTTGTGATGGCAGCCAATTGCACTTTTAAAACTTAGCTTCATAAATTATTTGAAAATATTACAAAATACATAAATATTTCATGCTTCAGTACTGTATTCTTTAATTACTTTCCATATCGATGACATCTAATTTACTCAAACATCCCATTAATATGTTCAAATTAGTACATGTTTTTGTGTTTGGACAGTTTAATGTGCAATCCACAAGTTTGGAAAGCAACACTAAAAACTGGAAACAAGTTTGATATTTCACCTGGAACTCTAAAGAAGCTGACATGATAAAGGAGAGTGAAATGAGTAGTTAAATATTGCCCCGAAGATTGTCAACTTTCTCAAATAAAGAATACTTTTCATCACAAAAAAATGTGTTCATGGTTCCTTTGTGCTACTGACTCCAAAGTCTAAATACCCATAACAACCCTTATGTTGTCTGAAAGCTCTTTGTTCATAAAAAAAAGTTTATATGAACTGTTGTTGTTGCTGCCTTCCACCAGCAAAGCCCCGTTTCCAAAGTATTTGAGCCAATTCTGTAATCCTTATCTTTCCACAAATATTTAGAAATGAGTGAAAACACAATTACAAGTAAGAAAGTTGAATGCAATGCAATGAAAGTTGTTGCATTATAAGAAGTTCTTAAAGCTAATTTGACTGGATAGAGGAATGAATAAGCAAAGTGAAAATACCCCCAAACCAAGAGGAGAACCTCTTTATCTATATCTATATCTACGATGTACACAATGGAATTAGGAATAGATCAAAATTCAAACATTCAGTTAGTTGTAGGTTTGAGAGTCGAGTAGTTACATTACAGCAAAACTTTCCCAATAGCACTTATCTTAGCAAAATTTGACATTCACATTTGAGTAAACATGCCACGAACAGCAACCTCTGAATAAAGACATCAAAACTGAGACTGTAGATAAAGACTCTTGTAGATAAAGTATTATCTCTTGACAACAGAGTGGCTTACCGCTCTTGATGCGTCTGCAGTGGTCCACCGGAGACGCCGGGGCATTTATTCATGCACTACATGAAGGAGTGTGGCAGAGGCTGGCTATGAGCTGGCACCATCTGCTGACCTTGATCTTACATGACACCATAGTGCAAAGGTGTTCTTTATCTGGAGAGATTATAACAAAAGAAAACAATCATACAGTGTTATTCTATATAATTCAGTTTTGAACACTAACAAAACTAGCTAAGCTTCTATCATTGTCCTCCTCACTCAGAGACTTAACAAGTTTTGAATGCTATTGCCTTCGTGTTATAGGCATACTTATTATATTTTAAGTCAGATAGTCATGTGCTGCTTTTAAGGGATTAGAAATTGTTGAGCGAACATTATCACCAGCTGCATATTCAACTGTTCTTTCCATCATCGAATAACTGGTCCCACCTTAGCAAAGTTCCACTGTGAGACCAAGATCAGAGCCAGTAGGGGAACACATGCCTGTAGGCAGCTAACAATGAGAGTCATGTAAAAGCAAATTCTGATCAAATTCTTCCTGTGAGATTAAATGCTGGATAGTAAAAGTAAAATATCAATGGACTAAAACAAGAAATTTAGAATGAAGTCGATAATCTAACCTTGGTTTCAAACTATCGAAAGATACTATGAAATCCCCCATGATGGAATAAAGCTAAAAACACGCATATTGGAAATAGAAAACAGAAATGTTTCAACAGATGCAGTCTTTCCAGTGCACACCTGTTAGCTCCCATCTATCATGAGAGGAGAGAGTGCAGTTTGACTTGTGGCTGCCCTTCACTTTCTGAGAGCAACTATCCAGGCAAGAATTTCACAGGGTTATCTTTGTCCTCAAGGCCAAAGGAGAGGGAACAATGGCATGACGACACCATGAGACAGAGGGTGTAGCCCTTGTTGTGCAGAGCTCTGACCTTAACTCACATTTGACAGCAGACTGTTTGTTGTCTAATGGCGGCAGAAACATTTCGTACTCGTCTTATGACTGTCCGTTGTGTGTCTTGGTCTTTTTTTGGTAGGAATCCCAACAAAGCCAACTGGTCCAGCGATATCTGCTCCTTAGACACTAAAAGCACAAAAAGCAAATTGGTCTTCCTATTGTTCATTGATCTTATTGTTTATCATTCCTCTGTTTGAGGAGATGGGCAAGGAAAAGAAAGAAGGGCAGTGAACTAATTTCTTGTTTCAAAAACATTTTGCCATCTTATCAATTATGATAATTTAAATAGAACGTTCGACATGATGTCATTTTAGATGATATTCTCTTGCTTGTGGGCAAGAGAAAAAAATGGACTTTTAAAGTATGAATCCCTGATTTGATGGTATATTGAATAAAGGTATATCGTCCAATGTAAAAAACAAAAAGATGGACACAAGCAATCAAATTCAAAAGGAACTAGATAATTGAAATAAACTGACCTTCAGTACAAATAAATTAAGAGTCACTTGATATCAAGCCCGTCTGTCCCTGATCCCCACCTCTCACCCTCCCCTTCCATTGTACCGTCTATTGTCCTCGCCTTGTTTGTCACAAGGTGAAAGCAACAAATAGCAGCTGAAAGTTCTGCCCTATTAAGACAATTCCTTTATGATGTGGTCTTTCTCCCAAAATCCATCCCATATTTGGAGGGTAAACAAGCTTTATTAAAGGAGGGAGGGCTGCTCTCAGCTACTGGACTCATCACTCCATTGTATTAAAGGTCGAGAGTCAAAGGTAAGCAAAACATTTCTATATGTAGTGTGGGATAAATATTTGACGCATTTTTGTGAACAACTGCTCTAAAGTGTGACAAACAATATACTTACACATGAATAGCATGTTTGGCTGGGGATAACAAATTTGATGTATGGTGTTGTAATACTTTGTCTTCTCGTTTAACTTTCTCGACTAGTAAGACCCTGACTGATCCTGGTCTTCTTTTGGAGTCCAACTCATCCTAGGTAACGCCCTGTAATTCAAGGAGTTCAAAATAATTTCAAAGTAATTTTCTAGTCCTTGGAATCTAATTTTTGATACAGTCTGTGATTCAAGTGATCAAGGCTGTATCCCATTGCTTTAGTAAGAGCAGCTATTCAGGTTTAAATTGAGTCTCTGGGTGGTTGCGTACTATACATATCTCAAAGCCCTTTTGTGATCCATGACAATAGTTTATACAAATGAATGGACTCTTATAAGAACAATTCATTGACAAGTTGTTCAAATATGCATTTAGTTTAAATATAGATCAGAAACTGTATGCACTAAGTAAAGTCCCATGGTTATGGTTTATTAAAAATATCTTATTGTAGTATTTCATGATAAACTGTTGGCTAATATGTAAACATTGAAAACCATTCCTATAAATACTGAACAGGCATTGTTGATGAATGATTCTGATCTATGCCATGATAATGGGAAAAATCTATGGGAGCATAACTTTCACATTAACTGCAGGTTGAAACATGGGGGATGCTGCCATGAAGGAGTTTGGGCCTGCAGCTCCTTTTCTGAGAAAATCAGATAAGGA